CCTGAGCCCCTGGCCATCACTAGTGTACTTTCTAGCTCTAGGACTTTGTCCGTTCCGGGTATTTCATAGCAATGGCCTCCTACAAGTTGTCGTCTTCTGTGACTTACTTCACCTCGCGTGTTTCCAAGGATGAGCCATATTGTAGCATGTGTCAGAACTTCATTTCCTTTGGGCCAAATAATGGATTCTTTTTGAATGAAGGAATATACCATGTTTTATTTTTTTAACCCATCAGTGGATGACCATTTTGGTTGTTTCCACTTTTTGGCTATCGTGAATAATACTGCCGTGGACATTTGAGTACAAGTTTTTGCTTGGACATACGTTTTCATTTCCCTTGGGTAGGTGCTTGGGAGTGGAATTGCTCAGTCATGTGTTAACTCTATGTTTAGCCTTTCGAGGAACTGCCCAACTGTTCTCTAGAGCAGCTACGTAATTTTACATTCCTGCCAGGGTGAACGAGGGTTCCACTTGCTCCCTATCCTCACTGACATTCGATACTGCCTGTCTTTTCGATTTTAGCCATCCCAGTGGATGTAAAAGGGTATCTCATTGTAGTTTTGATGTGCACCTTTCTGATAATTCATGATATTGCACATCCTTTCATATTCTTATTGATCTTTTATTTCTTCTTTGGAGAAATGTCTATTCACGTCCTGTGCCCTTTTAAAATTGGACATCTTTTTCTGGCTGAGTTCTAAGAGTGGGTACTAGTCCCCATCAGATATATGATCTGCTAATATTTTCGCCCATCCTCTGGGCTGTCTTTTCACTCTCTCAGTGCTGTGTTTTCTCTCAGAGCAGAGAAGTATTTCATTTTTCCTTCCAATCTTTTTTATTGAGTTGAAACACACATAGCGTAAAGTTTACCATCATAACCATTTTTAAGTGCACACTTCAGTGGCATTAAATACATTTATAATGTTGTGCCACCGTCACCACTCTGATCTCCAGGACTCCTTTTCATCTTATAACTTATAACTGAAACTGTATAGTCATTAAACTGTAAATCCCCATTGCCTGCTTGCCTCCAGCCCCTGGCAACCTCCATTCTACTTTCTGTCTCTAGGATTGTGACTACTCTGGGTGCCTCCTGTGAGTGGAATCATACAAGGCTTGTCTTTGGGGGACTGGCTTATTTCACTTGGCATAATGTCCTCAAGGTTCATCCATGCTGTGGCACGTGTCAGGATTTCTTTTCTTTCCGAGGGTCAGTAGTGTTTCACTGCAAGTATGTACCACATTTGGCTTATCCATTGGTCATCCATCGATGGACACTTAGGTTGCTTCTGTGTTTTAGCTATTGTGAATAGTGCTGCTGTGAACGTGGACATACAAGCAGCTCTTCAAGACCCTGCTTTCAGTTCTTTGGGGCGTATACCCAGAAGTGGAATTGCCGGGTCATATGGCAAGTCTAGTTTTGATCTTTTGAAGGAACCACGACACCGTATTCCGCAGAGGCTGTACCGTTTTACATTTCCACCGGCAGCACACATGGGTTCCAGTTTCCTCCACGTCCTCTCCAACACAGGACATCTTATTTTCTGGGGTTTTTTTGACGGTAGTCATCTTCATGGGTGGGAGGTGGTATCTCACTGTAGTTGTGGCTTGCATTTCCCTCGTGATGGGTGATGTTGAGCATCTTTTTATGTGTTCAGAGGCCATTTGTGTATCTTCTTTGCAGAAATGTCTCTTCGAGTCCTTTGCCCATTTTTTTAATCAGGTCGTTTCTTTTGTTGTTGTTGAGTTGTAGGAGTGTTCTCTGTATATTCTGGATATTAATCCCTTATCAGACAGACACTTGATTTGCAAATATTTTCTCCCATTCTGTGGGTAACCTTTTTACTGTGTCAAGAGTGTTTTTAGATGCAGAAAATTTTTAAAGTTTCGTTAAGTCCATTTTGTCTGTTTTTTTGTTACCTGTGTCTTTGGTGTCATGCATCAGAGGGATCTTTGCCAAATCCAGTGCCGTGAAACTTTTGCCTTATGTTTTCTTCTGAGAGTTTTCTATAGCAAGGCAAGCCCTGTGAAGGGGGATTTTTCTGGGGGACTGCCAGGAGTAAAATTAGTAACAGTTCTATGGCCATGTGCTTGTGAGGAGGCTGTAAACTGTTCTGCCCATTCCACTAGGTGCTAGGCGACCTGTTTTCACAGCTACCCTAGTTGCTAGGATGTGGTTTTTCAAGGCTAGTGGGGACCTGAGGGAGAGGGATATGGGACTAGGGCAATTAAAACTTCACGTAGCTCGCTGCTCTTACCAAGATTCGGCAGTTTTATTGAACAATTTTTTCTGGGTACTAGTCCCCATCAGATATATGATCCACTAATATTTTCTCTCATAATGTGCCACTGTCACCACTCTCCTTGACTCTTTTTGCCTGTGTTGTAACTGTTTTTATGGAGGAGGGCATTTCTGGAGGACCTTATTTTAACATTTTGGGAGTGCTTCCCATTTTACCCCTTAACTTCCTATGAATCCATACAAACGCAGTGTGGCCTCTTTTGTTCCACGTGGTATTTAAGTTTACACTTACTATGTTTGGGTGCCGCCATAGTTCATTCCCTGCCACATTGTTCTACACTTGTCTTTCTCTGTGTGGATCAGTCACAACATTCACTGTATTATCTGTGAACACAGGGTTCTTTTCTTTTGGAATACTATGAAGAGGGCTTCTTATGACCATTATTGTCCAGTAACATGATGCAAATAAGCAGAAATTTCTAGCTAAGTTATAGGGTACTTGAGAAAATAAAATTTAACTAGAAAATTAAAAGTGTTATTTCAAAGTGGCATGCCACTTTACGTTTCTGAAGCGGTTTAGAGAGCTGCTACTGTTCCACAGCAACGCTTGGCATTTTCAGTTTCGTATAGCCAATCTTGTGGGTGTGTAGCAACATCTCTTTGTGGCTATATAATCTGTATTTCTCTGAATCCCGATGACATTGAACACCCTCACAGATGTTTGTTTGGCTCATCCTTTACATTTTGACTCCAGTAGAATAAGCTTTCATTCCCACACATCCATCTAAACTGCTCTGCTCCAGGATACCAGTGAATAACTCTCCGTTGTCAAATCAAATGATCAACACGCGGTCCTCACCTTGCACCTACTGGCAACACTTAAAAGATGATCGGAATGTTCTGACTTACCTTTGAAAATAATCACTCTGCTCACTGGGTGGAAAATAGGCTATTGGGAGAGCCAGAGTGGAAGCAGAGAGACCAACCAGTTAGAGACTTCTGCGGTTGGAGAAGAGAAGAGGGAGTTGATGATGGCTTGCGGTGCGCTGGAGAGTGGGGGTCGGGGGCGGTGGTGAGAAGAGGTCACATTCTGGATATATGTTTAAAGTAGGGCCAAGAGAATTTGCAGATGGACTGGCTCTGTAGTGTAAGGCTCTTCTAGAAACGCTTTCTTTCTTTGTTTTCAGGACAATGCCCTCTCCTGGTGGTACCCCTACCATACCAGCCACTCCTTCCCCCACTTCTTTCCTGAGTCCTCATCTTATCAACACCTATACATGGAACTCCCTGGAGCTAAGTCCTCACCCAGTCCTCGTATCTGCTCCTTTCTCTAGCTGCTGGCTCTGCTCCCTGGGCAGTGGCAGCCGGTCCCATGGCTTGGATATCATCTCCAGACTGGCAACTCTCAAATAGACATCTGTGGCTGACTTCTCTCCTGAATTCCAGACTCAGTCACCTTGCTGCCTAGCTGGCATGCCCACGTGGCGGTTTAATAGGCATCTCAAGCTAAACACGTCCAACGCCTGCTCTTTCCACACTCATGTGCACCTCAGTGAATGGCAGCTCTGTTCTTGCAGTTGCTCAGGGCAGGGCCACTGGAATCCTCCTTTGCCGCCTTCCTCTTACACGCTACATCTGCTCTGTCAGCAAATCCTTTGAGCTCTACCTCACAATATACCCAGATTCTAGCCTCTTCTCACCACTACCACTTCAACCACCCTCCTAAAAGCTTCCAACATCTCCCACTTGGCACATCACAAGATCTCTAAGGATTCTCTGCTTATGCAATGGCCCATCACCCTACCCCTGCCTGTTCTTGGATCATGTGGCAGATGGAGTGATCCTTCAGGACTTCTCAACTCTGGTCACTCCTTTGCTAAAACCCTTCCGCACTTCCCATCTCCACTGAAATAGAGACATAATTCCTGAGGCACCTGGGTGGCTCAGTTGGTTAAGCGACTGCCTTCGGCTCAGGTCATGATCCTGGAGTCCTGGGATCGAGTCCCACATCGGGCTCCCTGCTCAGCAGGGAGTCTGCTTCTCCCTCTGACCCTCTCCCCTCTCATGTGCTCTCTCTCTCTCTCTCATTCTCTCTCTTTCAAATAAATAAATAAAATCTTAAAAAAAAAACAAAAACATAATTCCTTACCAATCCTTACCAAGTCTTCATGTGACCTGTCTCCACCCACAGCCCTCAGCTACCACTCCACAATGCCTGCTCTGTCCAGATAATGGTGACCTCCTTGCTGATCTTCAAACATGCCAAGCATGCTCCCATCTCCAGACTCTTCCACTTAGCCTTCCCTCTCCCTGATTTGCTCTTCCCCTTCTCTGACCACTGGCTTCAAATAGCACTCCACCCTAACCTCACTCTTGTTCCCCTTGCACTGCTTCATTCTGTTCCATCACACATATTACAACCAGGCACATCATGTAGTTATCTTTTTGTTTGTGCCAGGTTTGTAATTTTTTTTTTCCTTTTCATGGGATCATAGACTTTGTCTTATTTTCTGCCACGTCCCTAGTACTAGTACAACAGTTCATACATAAGTGGTGGAATGAATGAAGAATGAATGAACGAACGAATGAGGAGAGGTGGAATGTGTCAGTTTCACTGTCAAATTAGGCTTCTGTAAAAAGCACCAAGGTTGGACAGCATGCTTCAAATGTGCAAGTCGGCCTGTCCTGAGCCATTTGCACATTAAGGACTGAGGATACAGTCAGAAGAGAGAGAAAGCTAGAATCCTTGACTTAGGATCTAAGTGGCAGGATTGCCTTTAATGCCACCATGGTCTTGAAAGGGGCTCTAAGGAAAGGAAGAAAGTCCTTACCAGTCTTACCCGTAACTGGGCCCAAGGTAGTGATTGCCACATCAACCAAATCTTACTCCTCCTCACATCCAGAGATTTTCAATTTAGTAGGGGAAGTAGAATGTGTTTGCAAATGACCATATGTATGATAGGTCAGAATGCCATAGGTATAAAGGAAGTTCAGTATTGCGACTCGGTAGTGATAGATCTTACCATTGCTGAACAATATATAATTCATACAGTCGTAGATCCATCGACACAGTTGAGTTTAGATCTTCTCAGTGTTGATCTGAGCACCCGCTGTATGCCAAGAAGTGCACTCAATACCAGCACACACGTTACCTAACTTAATCTCTCAACCATTCTGTGAGAGGCGTCCTTTGTGTGGCCATCTTACTGAAGCAGAAACCTAGCCCTGAGGAAGTAAAGGTCGATGTCTAAGACCAATCAGCCAGAAAGTGACACCTGGGATTTAGGGACAGGGAAGATGAAAGCCCCTCAACCAGAAGAAAGGTGACTCTCTTCTTTTTAAAAAGGTTATTTGTTTACTCTCAGAAAATCCTTTCTGGCTGGATTTGTTAGGCTAGGAGAGCACAAGAGTCCAAGCTTACACAGCTCTCATGCTCTTAGCAGCCAAGGAGAAGAAAAGAGCTCTCACGGTGCTTAGGAAAGGTAGCCTACTGTTTTCTCTGATGCTTGAGTTGTTTTGTAAAACACCACTAGACGTTGACATGGGTCATAAAAGCAGCTAACGTGACAATAAAGATGATTAAAGATTGTGTCTGTTTTGGAAAAAAATCATGAATAAAAGAAACAGTTTTTTTTTTTTTAGGCACATTGTTACATAAAATGTAAATACTGCAATAGAGACTCTGAATAGTTGGGGGATCTGATGTACTGGTATCATTTTGTTGCAACAGATTTATAAATAGATTTATATCCTGTCTGTAGGCTTTCCTTAAACCATGACAGATCAGTTACCTCAAAGTTTATGTATTGTTACCTGTAATTTGAGAGGTTCCCATGAATTGTCAGTAGATAAAATATCAACTTTAATATAGAAATTAAGAAACCAAGAGAATAAGCAAAACTCAAACATGAATTCAACACTGTGTATGTGTCCACTGGCCTCAGTTGTCCACCCTGCCCCATTCCACTGGATCCCTGAATCAGATGCAGCCTCTTCCAGACAGCCCCAATATATAAAAGCCCCAATTACTAGGCTGCATCGAGTCTGAAGTGATGTTTCATGCAAAAATTGCCTTTATTTATTTTAAATGACCTCTATTTCATGAATAGAAACTGTCATGGTAAATTAGAGTACTCAGTAGATAACGTTCCTAAAATAATGCATTGATGTGACTTGTGTGAATATCCCCGGGATAGTAATAAAATAGATACAGATAATACAATTGTGTGAAACTATGTAGATGGAAGATGGTATGCCCTGAAAAATAATTTTAGCTCAGAAATTGAACCAAGTGATACAGGATATTGATGCAATGATCCATGAGAAAAGCTTAAATAAAATTTTTTCATGAAATGAGAAAAGGCAATACTACAGAATATTTTGTATATGATTTCATGTATCGATGTATGACCAAATTGCTAAAGTAAATATTGAAAGCTGGTTTCCTCCTCCCAGATTACTATGTTTCTCTAGACTACATAGTCCAGTTAGAGCCACTGGAGCCATCATTTCTCACTTCACCTTTGCCTCTATGAGCCTCTCATTCCCACTCAGTGCTTGAGGTATTTGATATATTTGGCTTCTTCCTCCACTATTCTTCTGCCTTCGGTTATTCCTGTCCTTCACCTGCTAGCTCTTATGGTGCAGGCCCTCCTGGGACTTCTGGCGGTGGGGCCTCCGGGGGCGGTGGGGCCTCCGGGGGCGGAGGGGCCTCCGGGTCGGGTGGGGCCTCCGGGGGTGGGGCAGCCTCCGGGGGTGGAGCTTCCGGTTGTTGAGGGGCCTCCTGTGGTTGAGGGGCCTCTTGGGGTAGGGGCTCCTCCTGCGGTGGGGGCGCCTCCTGCGGTGGGGGGGCCTCCTGCGGTGGGGGCGCCTCCTGCGGTGGGGGGGCCTCCTGCGGTGGGGGGGCCTCCTGCGGTGGGGGGGCCTCCTGCGGTGGGGGGACTTCCTTTGGAGCCTCCTCTGGACCCATCTGTGAAATATCCGCGGGTTTATTTCCTAAGTCCTGTGTGTCCTCAGTAGTCTCTGTGGTCTCTGAGGTCTCCTCTGAGGAGCCTCCTGGCGTCTCTATTGACTCAATTCCAGCCCTAAGGCTAATGGAAAGTATTAAAATCAACAATAATAGTAAAAGAAATGCGGGGAGTATGAAAATTACCTTGCCAATAATGTTCATTTCATTCTTACGTTTAGTAGTAATGCCACTTCCTCCTGCACTTAGATTTTCATTAGGTGATTTGCCGGGGGGACCACTGTCCACACTACCCCCGTTTCCTGGAATTTTGCAGTCAGGGGGGGCATAGCCCTCCTCACAATGGCAGTGCCTTAAATCGTTGCAAACTCCTCTCCCATTACACATTTCTTTTGGTTCACAGTCATACTTGAACACAGCACGATCAATGCAGGAGTAATTCACGCAGACTTTGTGTGGGGCACAAAGGGTGCCAGTGTCCACATCTCCGTCATCAGGGATATCAGTATCATTATAGGCATCCATGCTCCAGCAGAAGTCTTTTTCATGAGGGACCTGGATCAATGTATGGTGGCGTTTGATTGTTGGTATCTGTCTAATATTTGTACATACAAGTTTCCCACAAAATATATTCTCATCAAAACACTTAACATATTTTGAACTAGGTGAGGCCCCAAAGCCACAGTTTCCAAACCGGTTCCCTTTGGTGTTCATAGAAATATAACAGTCTTCTGGGGCTGACCTTGCAGGGAACCCATATATACCCATGCACTGAGTATCAGGGTTCTTACACCGGCCCATAAAACAATAGTGAATTATATCACACGATGTACCATCTTGCTTATAGTGGTCTCTGGGGCATTCTCTAGAAGTACCATCACAATACTCTGGGAGGTCACACTCTCCAAAAGCAGAACGACACATGAAGCCCTTACGTCTCAACTGGCAATTAAAACAGCATAGTCCATCACTACACTGTGCATGCTCCTTCAGCCTACATGTTTGGTCACAGCATGGGTTGTTACCACAGTCAGGTCCACAGTCACACTCCTCATTGTAGTCTAACACGCCATTCCCACACGTGGCTTGCCTACGCAGGCGACCTCTGGGCCGAGGCTTGTTAAATAGGCAGGCCCCTTTGTGTTCCCGGAGGAACTGAGAGAAGTGGTCAGAGCTGCAGTTGCTGAAGCCACTCTCTTTAGTGATATTTTCATGCATGAGGCAAAAGCGTTTGTCTTTACAAATGCAGGCCGAGTGGTCGTGCTGAATACCCAAGTTGTGCCCAAGCTCATGGACCATGAGCGCTGCAAACAGGAGGATGTCTTCCTGATGGAAGGCTTCAACAGCTGCTGCAAAGCCTCTTGAACAGGCACCATTGAGAAATGCGTGTCCCACATCATCTTCAGGATGATGTCCCACGATCATGTGGGCAACATCGTGCTTCACACGATGGAAGAGCTTCTCCTGTCTCCAGCTGTTGAAATTCCTGAGTGTAACTCGCAAGTCCGCTGGGACTTCTATGAGGTCCCCCTCGGTCCAAATCTCCATTCCAGCCAGCACCACCTCGGTGTTTATTTCCCGACTGAAGATGTTGGCCAGAGCAGTGATGTCCATTACTCTCTGGACTGTCTCATTGACGTTACTGCCCCACATTTGGAACCGCTGGTTGTTGACCACGACAAACATCTCCACGTACTTGGTGTGTGACCAAAAGGACGACAGTGCCTGTAGACTGCGAGGCTTCCTGCTCCCTTGTTGCCGGCTGGTGGACACCACTTGGCTGCCTTTGGAGGTGACACTACAGGAGACTCGAGCTTGGTGTGCCATGGTGTACAACACATGTTCAAACCGTTTTGAAGTGTCCATGGGCTTGATGCCATAGGGTTTCCCCTCCTTAATCAGGATGCCCCTGAGGCCTGAACAGGTGTTGAGGGAAACAAAAGAACCTGGGACTCCTTCTATGTAGCCTTCATAGTGACAGTCATACGAGATGAAAGGCGTTTCTTGCCCCAGGACCCCATTGTGGTAGCTGAAGACTGGGAAGTTATTCACAAAATAGTCTCTCTTCGCCTTCAGGTGAATCACCTGTTTCTGGCCCTGCATTAATAGCATATAGGATGCCTTTTCCCCTGGGTCTTCCCTTCCCTTGACTGTCAGACCCTTGGGGATGACTGTTTCATAAGAAGAGTAGTATACAGATCCAGGGTCACAGTACAAGCTTGGCAGGAAAATCACCAACAGCAACACAGTCCCCAACCTGACACATGAAGATACTGGCACTGGTCCCAGCCTGAAGTCCCTCTTTTGCCAAGCCCAAGTCTGAAACGTTATCTTACCCTCTTTCAAGGCCCCTTGGATTTTCCATAGCGAAGGCAGTGTAGAGGCAGAGTGTCTCGAAGAGGCTACCATTGACATGGCCGTTGTGAATCAGTTGATGCTGCGTGGCCTCTGTCCCACAGCAACAGCTATCCCTGGCATGGTGAGACTCAGGGAGTCAGGTATTAGCCCCAGATCTAGGCCGGCTCCCTAAGGGGTTGATGCTGTGCAGCTCTTGAGTAATACAGACTTTGGGGCTGTATTTCTATTAGCTCTTGGCCTTTGGTAGTTCCCTTACCATATGACTTCTTCCAACAGCAGAAGCTCTAATGTTCCTTGGCTAAGTTCCCTCTACCTTCACAGATATGCCCCATAGGCAGACTGTAATGATTCAGACAATACTATAACTCAAAATTTGCCTAAATTATCCTTATTCTCAGCCCAGGCCACACTACTCCTGATATCCGTTAATCTGCTCATTCTTTGAAACCCAACATTCTGGCAGGAGGTAGGGGGAGGGGACGGGGATTCTTTGGGGATCTCTGAGCAGGAAAATGTTCTCTGTGCCCACTACCTCCTTTTCTCATTTCCATAATTTTCAGGATACTGTTTCTCAGCCCAACCCTCCTTTGTCAGCCTTTGTTCATGAGAGATGGGTTTAGACATTTTGTATCTGTATGTAAACAACTTTTCCCTACTATGAAGTTTTCCTAATGCACATATTAAGTGATAAATGAAATAAAGCCTAGTTTTACCATGGAAGTATACAAGTGACTAGGATCAACATTCAATTCCTCCCAACTGCCCCAACATAAAAACAAACTCTGATTAGGTATCTAGTTACCATTTCATCAAGAAAATAAAAAATGGGGGCACCTGGGTGGCTCAGTCGTTAAGTGTCTGCCTTCGGCTCAGGTCATGATCCCAGAGTCCTGGGATCAAGCCCCGCATCGGGCTCCCTGCTCAGTGGGAAGCCTGCTTCTCCCTCTCCCACTCCCCCTGTTTGTGTTCCCTCTCTTGCTGTCTCTCTCTGTCAAATAAATAAAATCTTAAAAAAAAATTATTTATAAAAAAGAAAAAAATGGACTGTATTTTTTTTAAAGATTTCTTCACTCTTGTAACTAAAATTGAACTGTAATGTCTGGATAAGTCCTTGGATTTGGTTTTGTGTCAATTTCCTGATGTTTTTAGCAGTAGTTTCAAAGGGGAAAAAAAACACTATCCACTTTCCTTGCACAGTTATTCTTCTGTACATTCTATGATGAACTAAAAAATAAGACTGTACATCTTTTATCTTGCATAAAAGTAATTTTATATCAAGTCAAATATTTACAATATAAAACCTTTAAAATAAAGGATATGACTCTAAGGAACACTAAAAAATGGGGATACACCCTATCTAATTCAAAAAGGAATGGTACAGGGGCACCTGGGTGGCTCAGTCGGTTGAACGTCCTGACTCCTGGTTTTGGCTCAGGTCATGATCTCAGGGTTGTGAGATCAAGCCCTGCGTCAGGCTTTGTGCTCAGTGAGGAGACCACTTGAGATTCTCTCTCTTCCTCTGCTTCTGCCCCTCCGCCCACTCACAGTTGCTCTATCAAATAAATTAATTAAAAAAAAAAAATGGTTCAGTACCACAAGATCTCAGCTATGAGCAGGAGAGCAGATCAACTCAATAATATTTAATTCCTAATACAGATTTTAAAATTTATCATTAGCATCTGGCAATAGAACTTGTACTGTCATATCACAAATCCATTAAAAATTTTATAGCAAAAGTAATTTCTAGCTAGATTTCTTCTTGTATTTTATATAAGAGGAGAAAGCCTCTCAAAATTATATAATTTGGAAATTATCACAGATTTAAGGTATTTCCCTTATTTTAACCACAAACAGGCAGGGCAAATCAGGTTAAGTCATTTTGTAGGATAAAATAAATCAATAATGAAAGAACACTTCTATTTTTTAAATAAATAAAAATATAACTAAGTATATCCAATTTTCCAATTCTCAAATTGAAACACATTTTCTTCAAAAAATACACATGCACATAGCGTTCACACGTAAAATCTGATTTATATCATTTAAACTCTTTAACCAATAATTCCTTCAATTTGTTTTCTCCCATGAATACAAGCTCTTTTTTTAAAAAGCTGTCCTATCTTTTTAATTATTTTTCATTTCTTAAGTAAGCTCTATGCCTATTATGGGGTTTGAACTCATAACCCTGACACAAGAGTCGCAGGCTTCACTGGCTGAGCCAGCCAGGCGCCCCTAAAAAGCATATCTATTTTTAGCTTTGAAGAGCTAAAAAGTGGGGTGCCTGCGTGGCTCAGTTTGTTAAGCATCTGACTCTTGGTTTCTGCTCAGGTCATGATCTCAGGGTCATGGGATCCAGCCCTGTGTTGGGCTCAGCACGGAGTCTGCTTGTCCCTCTCCCTCTGCTCTTCCCCCTGCCTGCACTCTTTCTCTCTCAAATAAAATCTTAAAAAAAAAAAAAAGCTAAAAAGCTATCCTCTTATGTTTCAAACAATAAATTTCTGACAGGTATTCTCCTATGCTTATACAGTATATTAAAACCATGAAGATACACAAATTGTTTTACATCAAGCAGATCTATATGTGAAGTTGATAGGCATTTGAGTGATAAGTAATGGTTTTAAACAGAGGGTTAGCAAATCATGTAGGAAAACTGGAGACTCTCAACTTCCTGCCTGCAAGAACTGTTCTTATAATGTGAACTTCCTGCAGGTGTAGGAATTTAGAATCTGGAAAAGATGAGGATGATTTTGTCTCACTTCCAGTTACATGCGGAATTTGCCCTATTAGTCAACCTGACTGGAATGTCAAAGCAGAATTTGCTACTAGCCTACAAACTCCAAATAAAACTCCACTTGGAAGACCAAACAGTGCTGAGTCCTTTGGGAACTACTGTTTTTGTCAAGAGTCCAGAGTAGGACCCACTTTTCTATTACAACAACAACTGGACCATCCTCCAGGGCATTCACAAACTTCCAGCATGGTACTCTTGTATGGACATGTCTGGACATAGCATTTATTTTGGGGGCCAGATTAATTCAGCCTGATAAGACTAAGAAATGGGCAACTGCTGCTTTGAGTTAAAGGAAGCACTATTTTTGTTTTGTTTTGTTTTTAAAGATTTTATCTGACAGAGAGAGAGACAGCAAGAGAGGGAACACAAGCAGGGGGAGTGGGAGAGGGAGAAGCAGGCTTCCCACTGAGCAGGGAACCCAATGCGGAGCTTGATCTCAGGACCCTGGGATCATGACCTGAGCCAAAGGCAGACACTTAACGACTGAGCCACCCAGGTGCCCAGGAAGCACTATTTTGGATGTCCTTCTAGATCATGCCTAAAATTCACCACACACTGGGCGCCTGGGTGGCTCAGTTCGTTAAGCGACTGCCTTCGGCTCAGATCATGATCCTGGAGTCCCGGGATCGAGTCCCACGTCGGGCTCCCTGCTCAGCGGGGGGTCTGCTTCTCCCTCTGACCCTCTTCCCTCTCGTGCTCTCTGTCTCTCATTCTCTCTCTCAAATAAATAAATAAAATCTTAAAAAAAAAAAAATTCACCACACACAAAGGAAAAAAATCATCCTGAGCCTTTGGATGACACCTAAGTAACAAATTGAGAAGAGAATGGTAGACTGGGCATACCAGAAGTTTCCTCTGAAGAAAAAGAGTAACAAAGCTAACTACAGCCTTCCTCTCTCCAGCCAATACCTCTGCCTGCATTTCACTAAAACACAGTAATTTGAATCAACATTTAATTCAACTCTTAGCTAAGTCTTCTGGTCAGTAAATAAGAAAACCTTTTGTTTTCCTCTGCTGCCTAACTCTTAGATTTTGCCATGTTTAAAGGTATCAAATTCTTGGGGCCCCTGGGTGGCTCAGTCGGTTAAGCGTCTGCCTGCGGCTCAGGTCATGATTCCAGGGTCCTGGGATCAAGCCTTGCATCAGGCTCCCTGGGAAGCCTGCTTCTCCCTCTGCCCCTCCCCCCGCTCGTGCTCCATCTCTCTCTCAAATAAAATCTTAAAAAAAAAAAAAGTATTGAATTCTCCTTACACAGTATCCATTTACAACAGTTATTCATCACCTAAGATTAGGGAGCCTTACCTCAAAAAATATCTATTACCTAATGTAATAAGGTAATTCTTACAAAATACTTTGTGTTTTTATCCTACATTTCCAGTCAGTCACATACATACGGGGCATACTAACCAAATGTCATCCTGAAGACATGCTAAGCAAAGTGGAAGAGTTACAAAGTAAGTGAGCTCTGTGAGATCGATTTTGATTGAAGAGAATGTGATGGGATGAAAGTGAAGAACTGTGCCTACAGATCGTCTTCCTCTGCTCTGTACATTGGAATTTGCCTGCTAGCCCTTCTATTTACCAACACAGGCATCCACCAAAAACTGCTACAATAAATAAATAAATAAAAATGGTTTATGGAAGCCCATGTGCACAACAGAAAACTAAAAAAGCATCCAGCCTTATTTTCTATTCAAACAGCTGATCTCTGGGCCAAAACCACCCTTCCTGAAAATGAAGGGTACTGAACAAAATAAATGTAGCCTGGGGATACCAACGTTAAGCACAGGCCAAAGCATTTGACAGTAAAACGGCAGCTTTCAGAGAAAAAAACTGGACCACCTTAGGTGCTAACCCAATAGTTCAGTTTATATGATATGTAACTTTCTCAAAAAAATCATCCAATAAAAAGAGCCAGGAGAACAGAGAAAAAGATGAAAAAGCAACAGAGCTTGGTGAGGTCTGCGGGGAAGCGGGGAGAGGACTGAGCAGGACCTCAGATGAACAGAATGAAGCTCTGGTCCTGCATGAAAAGAATAAACTCAAAATCCCATTAGATTTAAGAAACATACCAATACCTTTTAAAAGATATGGCAAAAAAGAAATGTTACCACTTTTCTCAAAATAATCAGGGACAAGAAAAATGAGGACTCAGATCCCTGCCTCCTCCATCATGGGAGTTGGCATCCTGTGGGTTCCAGCAGGCAGTCTGCAGTATGGATCCACAAAAATTTTTTGGCACCAGAGGTAATCTACCAATCGTGCAGAAAGCAAATACACAGGGCAAGTGAAACCAGATTCCACAGTACTTGATTCAACTGTTTACTAAACAGGTCAGTATAGTCAGTCCTTTGTCTACCACTGGCAAATGGTTTTGTACACTTTATTACAAATAAAATAATCTTGTTTGACGATACCATCTGTCATCTTACAAACATATGAGAAAACAGTCCTAGAGTAATAGTATATCTCTAGGAACTGAGCTTTTCTTAAAAACAAACAAATGAACTATACTATGAATAAGTCCTGTATCTAAATCTATACAGCATCTTTAAGTAATGTGGAAATGAAATTATGATTTATTAATTTACATAAAAATTACTTTATACATTAAAGAATAATTTTCAAATTGTTAAAAAAACAAAGTCTGAAGCTGTCATTATTGGGATTCATGGGACATGGTTTGCTCTTCTATCACTTGCTTCACAATTTCTGCCAGTTTTAGCCGATCTACTTTATCTGTGAATCCACGACCTGAAATGCAAAAAAGAAGTCAGTCAGTCTCCAAACGTGTGGAGGTGAGATTCTTGACAGGGACCCAATAAGGTACCCATATGGTGTATGACAGGGGCTCTGCGGGGTTGAATCTGCACCACACAGTTTATCTGAATTCTGGAAAACAAGTGAAAGGCCAGACGTCCAGATATGCCTGTGCAGTTAATGTAGGAGTAACCCCCGTCCCATAATACCCCACTCACTCTCTAGCCTCACTCACTTCAAACAGCCCCAGCGGAGCCCCCAGAGATCGTCCATGTTCTACACATAATCACTTCTCTGCATCCATGGAGAAAGGAAGAAGTATTTTCCTACCATTCCAGCTGAAGCTTTGCAGAGTATCTCTTAGAAGTTTGCATTCCCGGTTATACTTCCAAGCCTCCTGCATTACTTCATTCAATTTTTCATCTTCATTCTCTCCTGTTGATAAAGATGAAGAAGTTGTGTTTTCCAGTGGCATCATGGGATTTTAAATGTCAGAGATGGAAGGACACAATCTCCAACTTATTGAGAAGTGATGAGTAAAGGTGCAAACTTTTGACGCTTTGTTGTTACTACCAGTCCCTACATTACATATAGGTCGCTCTGGGCTTTGCACTCTTCTACTCTGACAGCCTCACACAAATCCTCTGATGTCCCCGGGGTCTTAGCACTAGGGTATGGGAAGTAGGCAGAGTCAGTCTCTGCTGCTAAGCAAAAACACATGATTAATCTAAGAGACCAAGAGAAGAAGGGAGAACAAGGCTGAGTGGACCACTTTCTTTCTCCTAAGCTCATTTCTTACTTTGGAAGCTATCTAAGTGTACTATATAGGTGAATTCTCTGAAAACCTAAGGAAGTTAGACTGTTTTCTGGCTTCCTACTTAGGCATCTCATTCATCTGCTGAGAAGAGCCCATTACACCCCACTGAGTGAAGAGAGACTATACTAAAAGAAAGCTCTCACTCAAAAGGAGACATGTACAAGTCACACTCTGGCCATGATACACAAAGCAGCAGGGGCCACTTCTGAACTTCTGGGAGGTACTCTCTTTATATTCACAAGTTAATGATAGCCTTGCACTCTAAAGGCTCTGGAAATATTTTCTGACCTTCACAAGCTGATCGTGACCCTGTCCACATTTTCCATTCTTCATCTTCTGTCCTGTGCCCTCGTTAACAAACTAAGAAAACACAAAATTGCATGCTGCACCAGACACTGGTAATTAAACCTCAACTAGCAGTTTCACAGAAAACCAAAGGAGGGGCAGAACTTACCACCTTTCTGAGTTCCCACTGCCCTCCTCTTTTTAGTGGGCAGAAAATAATTTATATAATGTACTTATCTTCTTATAACACAAAGATCAGAAAGACCACCTTATATTAAACTGCTCCTTCTATCATGTGCACGCACGCACGCACACGGAACATTCATAAATGGCGTGACCTTTACCAGCCTGGGGGAGAATACACTGAGCAATCACATCTCGGAGCTTTTCCAAGGCAACATTTGAATCCTCGGCTCCATTCTCCCGGTCATGGATATAAACACCGTCCTTTGGCTTGGTGCTTTAAAAGTTTGGAAGAGAGGGAATAACAAGGTGAAACCTCAGAAACCAACTCTCCGCAGAAGTTAACTCTAAAACATAAGGCAGCACATTTTTCAGATAAATAATTAACTACAGAGTGTCTCCAACTTCTGATGCTATTTAAAGGGCTTATCCTTTCCACCCTCTTAAGAGGCAGCAAAACGGCAAACCCCTGGCTAACCTTTCAGAACCCTGCACTCAGCCATACCAGCCATGAAGGAAAATCCACAGAATAAGCTCAGTTACCCGAGTAATTTCCTCTTCCTCAGAATGGGGTTGTTCACAGAGTGCAGGGGTTTGAGGCTGACTTTCAGATCCTGGATTCTCATGTTGGCCAACTGTTCCGCGTGAGCCTGCTGGATTCCTGCAACCACCGCCTGAATGTAAACACTATCATCAGTTTTCACACTCACTTCAGGGCACCTAAAAAGCTAATCTAAGAAACTGTGAAGGAGAAGCTCCAAGAACTAAGAAGGCAATTTCACTGTTACGCTGGCAGGACACAAATTTTGATAAGCCAGAGCATTCTTCATGGATCGGCAAGCCCAGGGAATACCAGGCAAACCAAGGGTCATACAACAGCTGGCCCTTCCTCCCTGCACAGGGACAGAAATGCAAGTAAGAAATACTAAAAAGAGTCATGTTCACAGTCATTGGCAAGAGCAAGGGTAAAGAGAGGCATTCATGTACATCAGGGAAAAGGCTGGTAAGCTGCTGCCCGAGAAGCCCCCCACAGTGGCATTTATTCACTGCCCCCACGGTGTGCATAGTCACTTCAGCCCCGATGGCTCAGAACCCCAAGCACTTCACATGGTAAGCAGGTAGATCTCAGGAACTCATCTACAAGTCAATTAATTTACCATGAGAAATAACTGTCATGGAGTCTAGAACTTTTGAAGCCTGTGTCTTTATGACCAGTGTGAGCTCTTACTATGGGCAGACCAACTAAGGCAGGTAAATAATCAGCAGAAAGCTTTCTAAGAACAAGATGATCCTATGTTTATATTTTAAAAAAGGACAAACTGTGAGTATATGTGTGTCTCCCCAGAAAAAGATTAGGAAGGATACACTTAGCCAGAGATTACCTCATCTCTGAGGGGTGAGACTGAGGCAGAGGAATGAAAAGGAAATTATGCTTTCTAAAAATACATACCTCTGTATTAATTTCAACAATAAAATTTGACAATTTTAAAAAGTAGTTCCATTGTTAAGCATGTGATTAGATCAGGTAGAGTTTGAACTCATTTAAAGGAACTGTAATCGCTGGCTCTGGCTATACCCTATTGGAGCTCAGGCTCCATCTCCTAGGCAGGGCTTAGATGGACACTGTTCAACATCTGCATATGTGGCCATTTTTCTACAAAGTTAGTCAACTCACATCATGACCCCATAATTTCTTTAAAAATGGGAATATATTGTCACCTTGCAGTTCCACCTTATGGGCCTCGGGGCCACTCTTTCTCATTAAGATTCTGCATATCCATATTTGGCTTAATTATATACTAATTCTACAGTAACTCTAGAAAGCAATCTTATTTCTTCAATTCCAAGATCTTGAGGAAAGCCACACTGTAACCCTCATGTGCTGATCTAAGCAATCCCTTAAGATTTTAGACTGATCAAACCAATTCTGGACTACTAGGCATATTTAAACCAGAAAGAGAACCACACACAAATCAGAGATGGCAGAGAACTTTGTTCCTTCCAGCTTTCTTTCCCATACTCCAACAAAACTAAGGGAGGTCTTAGATTTTTTTTTCCGGGGCGCCTGGGTGGCTCAGTCGTTAAGCGTCTGCCTTCAGCTCAGGTCATGACCCCAGGCTCCTGGGATCGAGCCCCACATCAGGCTCCCTGCTCAGCAGAAAGCCTGCTTCTCCCTCTCCCACTCTCCCTGCTTGTGTTCCTTCTCTCGCTGTGTCTCTCTCTGTCAAATAAGTAAATAAAATCTTAAAAAAAAAAAAAAATTCTTTTTTCCTGGGACATCTGGGTGGGTCGGTTAAGCGTTTGACTTTGGCTCAGATCATGATCTCAGGGTCCTAGGAATGAGCCCCATGGCGGGCTCCCCACTCAGCAGGGAGTCTGCTTGTCCTTCTCCCTCTGCCTCTGTCCCTCCTCGCCCCTTGGCTCCTGCTCTCTCTCAAACAAATAAATAAAATCTTTAGAAAAAAAAAATTCTTTTTTCCTGTTCCCTTACTCTTCCTTACACTTCAGTCCCCCTCCCTTCTAAGTAGGTAAAGCATATGCCTGTGTCTCTGCCTTTACCTCTCAGCCACACTACGGTCCCACACAACACATCTCATTCGTCTGCATGTCCATCTAAGCAATATGTAAAACCTAAGAGACTTCCCTTGACCTAAACCAGCCTCGATCCTGATTTCCCTCTATTTGTCAATGGTATCACTAGATATGATACCCATTGTCCCCTTATTATCTAGTAAGTCACCCCAAATTGTAGAAATTTGTCTTCAAAAATACTGAGCCTGGGGTGGGGTGCCTGGGTGGCTCAGTCGTTAAGCGTCTGCCTTCGGCTCAGGTCATGATCCCAGGGTCCTGGGATCGAGCCCTGCACCGGGCTCCCTGCTCAGCAGGAAGCCTGCTTCTCCCTCTCCCACTCCCCCTGCTTGTGTTCCCTCTCTCGCTGTGTCTCTCTCCATCAAATAAATAAAAAAAATCTTAAAAAAGATTTCACTTGTCTCTACTTCTCTGCTCCCAGAGCTGCTCCCGGGCTTGTCAATTACTGCAGAAGTCTTAGGTTGACAAGTCTGCAAGTCTGGCTGACCATCCCTAAATACCTTCCTTGTGGCGAATCTCTTCCCCAAAATTGACAATGGCCTCTCAGTTATGTCCTACTAAGACTTAAGTCCCTCTGTGTGCTTTCAAAGCCTGGCCCTGCCACATGTATTTCACTGACTTCCCATTAATGAAGCCAGGTGGTTTTCCCCATGGATGCACTTCTGTCTGTAATTGTTTGCTCCTGTTGCTCACTGCACTTGGCCACGTATGTTGTCTACTCAAATTCTT